AATGATTGAGCGAATGATTGAGTGATTGAATGAATTAATTAACCAATCTATGATTCAATGAATGAATAGAATGAGTCAATTAATGGATGAATGAAAGATTGTGTGACAAAATGAATGAATGAAAAAAATAAAAACAACGAAACTAAACCATACTTCAAAAATCGTCGTTGTTTTCTTCGAGTTGTCATCGGAACGATCATCATGAGACCACCATCTGAAACGTGCTGACGCCCACCACTGCCCACCTCTCATCGGTCTGTAGACAAGTTATTTTTATTAGCTTAGTAGTAAATGAATGTCAGAATCTTAGAAGCAAAAAATTATAAAATGGAAATAATGGCAAATAAATAATATTTGAAAATAATAAAGAGAGTAAAATGTAAAAAAAAACTTACCGTCGTCCATTCGACAAAGGCTAAATGATGAGTGCCTTCCGTTTCCTGCGTTGTACTCCAAAACTGGTGCCAGTCCTCCTCGAGATTGTTGTTGAAACATAGCCCGTGGAATGGAGAAAGAGAAAATTCTCACTAGAAAGCTTAGCGGTGCCTGCATCTTAAATTGCTTAATAAAAATAATCCTATCTACCTATTCAATTACCTTAACTAATCTATAATAAATTGTTAATGGTACGATAGTCGAAAGTTCCCCTTCATTCTCCCTCCTTGCACAGAGGTTCACCGACAGCCAGGGCACCGGATAGTTACCATTGCCGTGCGGATAGTAGACTACTGCCTTGCGGATAGTAAACCATTTGCCGTCCGGAAGCCGTGCGGGTAGTAGACTATGGCCATGCCGCATAGTAAATCATTACCGTGCAGATAGTAAACCATTGCCGTCCGGATAGTAAACCATTGCCGGTTCACCACTGGCCGCCAAGGCTTACCTCTGACAAGAGACTTCGAAATTCAGAGTCTATCGGCTATCGTACCCTCAACTTATCTATTCATTACAATTAAGCCCTAGCTTACCTAAAATTACAAAACTCAAGAGCCCAATTCATTGGCCTTTCGGCACCCACCCCACCACCTACGTAATGCCTTGGGCTCCAACTTAGTAATAATAATATAAAACTTAAACCCTAAATCTATTAATGAGTATGTGTTACAACGTAGCCTTAACCTACCTATTCATTACATTACGGTCCTAGCTTACCTAAAATTACAAAACTCAAGAGCCCAATTCATTGGCCTTTCGGCACCCACCCCACCACCTACGTAATGCCTTGGGCTCCAACTTAATAATGATAATGTAAAACTTAACAATTAACCTACCTATCGATACACTTACAGCGTTTTGATTTACATTACAAGATTTTTCCTAGAATTACATTATTGCTCTTAACTACCTATGAAATTAAATTACTCTCAACCTTAGTAATAATAAATTAGAATGTGTAATGAAAATAAAATTACGCTCAAATACTAACATATGTGTTTATGTATGTATTTGTGTGTGTGTGTGTAATACGCTGGTGCGTGTAATGTGGGTGCAAGATAAAATAGAAGAGATAAACTTACGCTGCCTACCTATTCAACTACATTAATGTTGGATGCTCCCTATCTATCCTACCTACAATTAAAATTAGGCCTATCTAACCTACCTATATAGCTACTTAATGTAATTGTGTATGCGTGTGTGTGCGTGTGAGCATTCCTACTTAATGTTAAATTACAGAAAAAAAGAAGAAAACGTATCCCAGTCAGGCAGGTATTCTTTGCCACTGAATGAACGAACGTAGCTTGACATCTTCCACGATGAACTCCTCTGGAAGCTTCAATCTGAATGAAATGAAAAAATCCTATTTAATTAATTAAATGAAAATAGAGAAACGAGCCGCGGTGAAATCCACCAGCCGGAAAAGCCAGCAAACTGGCAAAAAAAGAAACCGTTAAGAAACCGTAAAGTCGGAAGTTAGGGTTAAGGTTGAACGTAGGGTGACATCACAACCATTCTGATCCTCCACGATGAACTCCTCTGGAAGCTACAACCTGAATGAATGAACCTGAATGAACCTAGATGAATGGACAAATCTTATTTATTTAATTAATTTAAATGAAAATAGAGAAACGCAAAGAAGCCGACCGGTCGGCAAAGAAAAGAACCGCAAAGAACGGTATCTATATAGGATTTATGCTCTATATAACTCTATATAACTCTATATAACTCTATATAACTCTATATAACTCTATATAACTCTATATAACTCTATATAACTCTATATAACTCTATATAACTCTATATAACTCTATATAACTCTATATAACTCTATATAACTCTATATAACTCTATATAACTCTATATAACTCTATATAACTCTATATAACTCTATATAACTCTATATAACTCTATATAACTCTATATAACTCTATATAACTCTATATAACTCTATATAACTCTATATAACTCTATATAACTCTAT